ATTTTCAGCAGAGCCGCCACGGAACGATCAAAGCCTTCGGTTCGTGCGCGTATTCAAAAGGCTCATATGCTCATTGTAATATCACTTCGTGCTCACTCAAGCGTAACTGCCGCTTAGTGTATAGTGTACTGTGTAGACGACGCGTGGCCATATAATCGGCATCATAGTTAAAATTACGCGCGTGCATACGTATAAGAAATCAACAGATTAGATCATAGTAAAGACTACACGCGTGCATATGAAAAGGAAATCGGCAGTTTTAAATAGTGATTATAGTGAAGCCAATGGAATAGTAATCAAAGGAAACATTAATCACACAGTAGTACAGCACCATGCCTGCATTTTACAAGGTACATCTTTTTAAATTAATAAATAAACTAGTCACATCTAGCACAAGAAACCTGGGCAATTTCGTATCCCCTGACGCAGTCGACAGATGATGGACACTTGGTCGTGCATTCTCTGAAATAAACACCAAGTGATTAGCACGTGGTCGTGCATGCCTGAAATAATCACCGAGTGATGAGCACGTGGTCGTGCATGTCCTGAAGTAGTCACGAGGTTAATAGTAATCCAAGGAAACATTAATCACACAGTAATAAAGCACCTTGCCTGCATTTTACAAGGTACATCTTTTTAAATTAATAAATAAACTAGTCACATCTAGCACAAGAAACCTGGGCAATTTCGTATCCCCTGACGCAGTCGACAGATGATGGACACAATTGATTACTTAATAAATTCCATTAAACATCTTACACCATATCAAGTATAGTTATGCATACATCAAACATATTTGATTCAACTACCATCTTCTCATGCTACCTCAAATGCATGATTGACTGACGACATCAGCTGACATTTACATCAGCATTACTTCAACTTCACGATACTTACTCATATCCATAGCATCTACAATAATTCAAGAATACAAGAATACACCCTCACTACTTCAATAGAATTATTTCTCTTTACATCAAAGTGCAATATTGTTATAATTATTAACATGAATAAACATTGTTTTACTAAATACACGATATTTTTCAGCCTTGTCTATTATTGTTTCCTTTGAAGTTATCCTGCCGAGAGATTAATCCACTGAACTATTGAATTGGTAGTTTGAGCCATAAACTAAACCTTTAAAATCGAACACTATTGCTTATTAATATTGTTGATATCTCTCTTTTAGTAATACTCTTTCAATATATTAAACCCATCAGACATTTCATACTCAGTTAAGTTTTTAGTGAAATTCTATTTAGCGCTATTTCGGGAATGACTTACACTTCTTCAGATTGTCCATTAACACTGTTACTCCGACATATATCCGTATGTCCACTAACGCAGTTACTTGTTCCAAGGGAGTTACGACAATCCGCCTATCAGAGTCCGAAGACGAGTCAACGATTAGTCTTTGTAAGTAGTATCTACTAGTACTAAGGACGAGGAAGCTACTCTTAATACGACAGTGCGGAATAAATTCCAGTACGCGTCGTCAAGTTTCGCGCCCGCAAAGGGCATCTCACTTCGTAACTCTCACCTTAGTTCAAGTTCGGAAGCTTACGAAAGTACGCAAAACCCAACGCAAGTGTAGGCAATCCAGTTTCGCGCCACTAGCGATATCTTTCAATCATAAAGCCGCATTCGTAACCTCAACCACACACTTGCTCGTTCAAAAGGCGCTAGTGTCGACGAACGAAACTTCGCGCCATTCGCCATTCGTATTCAATAATCAAGCTGCATAGGTTATTGTACAGTTGTCTCCGCAACACATCACTTCAATCAAGAATTTAGTTCTACAAGCAATAATAGTAATACTAGTCAACCTTGTCATTAATAAATAACAGAATAAATAGCATAAACTTTAGTCATATTTATATTGTATTATTATAATATCCCTTCGACTTGTGACCTGTCATCGCTACCACACAACAACCTTGGTCTCTGAGTTGTCAACGTCATCAAATTGTATGCGTTGAACCGGCCTTGATAAAACAAGTCGGAATAACGAGGTGCATTTTGTACATATTATGACTTAACTATGTTAAACATTCTTATTTTCAAGTTAATTATTAATACTAAGTTAATGTGTATTAACTAACTATTAATACGATGTAGAGTTCAGTGAAATTTAATTATTGATTAATTTCATTCTATATTAATGAATTTGTATTAAAAATAAATCTGGATTTGCAGCTTCAATTATTTCTTGGTCATGGTTATATCACTAATTTCATACTTTTCTATTTGCATCGAATATAATTTAGTATTATTGTTTTACTGGCTAAAGGAAAAAATTATTTTTATAATAAATTATAAAAAAAAGTAATAAAAATTGTTAAAATTAAAAATTTTAGTTTCATTATGCTACCCTGTATTTAAGAAAAAATACACTTTTATTTATTCCAATCTACTACTATAGAACTTATTCTACTACTATATGAACCTGAAAACCTGAAAAATCTTTGAAAAGAATTTTGAACAGTCTAAGTAATAAGAATAATGTTATTTTATTATTAATTTTCATTATACTATTCCAATATGTATACAAAATTATATCAAAATTTAATAGATTTATAAAAAAACACATTTAAAAAATATTTTTTTATCGCCTTTAATGTTGTAGTTTCTTTTATCTTTCTTTCATTTCAGCTTTTAGGATTCTTTATGATTCCATTTATTATCTGCACTACTCTACTTATACTATACATATCAATGATTCAATAGTTTCATTTTGTCAATTTCTTTACTTTCTAAATGACTTTATTTTTAATTGTCTAAATCATGGTAAAATACAGATTTAAGAAAATTTAATTGAACAGCAATTAACATTTAAGAATATGGGAATAAATATTACACGATAAATAGGTGTAATTAATTATTAATTGAATTATATTTTATATTAATTCATAGTTGATCCATAGTTGAAACTAATTTTATCTATAAATTATAAATATTTTTATATTAACCTATTTATATTTGTACAAAATGCAACTCGTCGTTCCGACTTGTTTTATCAAGGCCGGTTCGACGGATACAATTTGATGCCGTTGACAACTCCGAGACCACAGGTGTTGTGTGGTAGCGATGAAAGGTCACAAGTGGAAGGGATATTATAATAATACAATATAAATATGACTAAAGTTTATGCTATTTATTCTGTTATTTATTAATGACAAGGTTGACTCGTATTACTATTATTAATTGTATAACTAACTCCTGGATGGAAGTAATGTGTTGCGAAGACAATTTTATAGTAATCTATGCAGCTTGATTGTTGAATACAAATGGCGAATGGCGCGAAGTTTCGTTCGTCAACACTAGCGCTGTTTCAACGAGCACGTATGTGGTTGAGGTTATGAATGCAGCGTAATGACTGAAAGATACCACTGAGTGGTGCGAAACTGGATTCGTCGACACTTGCGCTGTGTGTTGCTTAATTTCATAAGCTGCCGAACTTTAACTAAGGTGAGGGTTACGAAGTGAGATGCCCTTTGCGGGCGCGAGCTTGATGACGCGTACTGGAATTTATTCCGCACTGTCGTATTAAGAGTAGCTTCCTCGTCCTTAGTACTTGTCGATGTAATACTCTGAATCTCAATATATATATATATATATATATTTATTCTAGTAGATACTACTTACAACGACTAATCGTTGACTCGTCTTCGGACTCTGATAGGCGGATTGTCGTAACTCCCTTAGAACAAGTAACTGCGTTAGTGGACATACGGATATATGTCGTAGTTCTTCCGGAGCTTGTAACTGCTGTTCCAGTAACAGTGTTAATGGACAATCCGATGAAGTGTAAGTCGTCGCTCCAGTTGAACATGTAACGACGGTTCTTGAACTGCGTTAACGGACATACAATGTATGTCATTGTTCCTCCAGGACTTGTAACTACTGTTTTCGTAACAGCGTTAAATGGACTTTCACTAAACTTAACTGAATATGAAATGTCTCAAGGGTATACTATACTGAGAGAGTATTACTAAAGAGAGAGATATTAAGAGTATACTAAGAGGGAATGATCAAGAGTATACTACTAAGTAAGAGATATCAAAAGGGAGATACTTCAAGAGAGTAATATCACGAGAATACTACTAAGGAAAAACTATGAAGAGTAAAATATCATGAGTAAAGTATCAAGAGTAATGAGTATTGAAAATTGCGCCCCTTAAATATATTTGCTGACTATGAACTTTACTTGAACCCCTTCCCTTATGTTCTGTCCAATCAGAGACTCCTCCCTTATAGTGCGAGGGCAGCGCCTCTTTTGGCTTCGGAGTTAATGAAGGGCCTAGTCGTCTCCGGGTCCTCATGATGCGCAGATCTCTCGTTGCTGCTGCCGCATGCGACAACATGTAGGCAGCGGAAAGGGGGAGGGGCATCGCTGACACATCTGGTGACAAGCATTGTAACTTGTTGACAGCAGAACGGGGAACGAAGTCCGCTTGCAGTAATGCTTGATGTAGTTGCCGAGCGGAACGAAAATGCAGATGTATAAACTATAGGTTTTCCTGTGTTTATGCTATTGTTTTTCCAGATGTTTTATGACACTAATGTGTGAGAATTTTGAGCAAGCGAAGTTTTGAAATCCAAATACAAATTTTACGATGTTACTTGCCAGATGTTTTATTGCACTGATAAAAAAGAAAAAATGTTCTCGCATTCTCGAACAATATTTTAAAATATCAACGTTATTTATTTTTATTTAAATAAATATGCTTGTAAGACTAATATTAAATTAAAAAATAATATATTTTTTAAATATGGGTAGAGTATTTTTTAAAATTGTATATGTAATAATAGCAGCCTATTTTATTTTAGATTTATCAATCCTTAAAATAAATGAATTATAATATATTTATATAATTTAAATTCAATAATATTTTAATGTGACTAAATAAAATATAAATTAATTATCTAATTTTTTATTAACCTCAATTTATTATTATAAATTCTTTGAATTTCAATAATATAAATAAATATTTTTTCAGTGTTAAATTATACAAAGATATGGTGACAACGATAGAAAACCAATGTCTAAAACAATTTATTAAAGAAATTGATTATGAAGAAATTAAATCGGAAGAAATTTTGGAGTTGTATGGAAGGGGAAGTGGAATGGTCAACATGTAGCTGTTAAGCACATTAATACAGATGGGGAAAGAAAAGCATTTATAGTAGAAATTCATCAGTTATCAAGAGTTATTCATCCTAATATTGTTAAACTGTATGGTGCATGCATGAAAAATCCAGTTTGTCTTGTTATGGAATATGCCGAAGGAGGTTCTTTATATAACGTGTTGCATTCGAATTTACAATCAGTTTATACAGTTGGACATGCTATAAGTTGGGCACTTCAATGTGCTAGAGGTGTTGCATATCTTCATAATATGAAACCTAAACCTCTTATTCACAGAGATTTAAAACCTCCTAATCTTTTATTAATACTTGGTGGACAGATATTAAAAATTTGTGATTTTGGTACAGCATGCGATTTAAATACTTATATGACAAACAATAAAGGTTCGGCACCGTGGATGGCACCAGAAGTATTTGAAGGTTCAACGTATACTGAAAAATGTGACGTGTTCAGTTGGGGAATTATTTTATGGGAAATATTATCTCGGAAAAAGCCTTTTGATAATATTGGTGGTTCGGCTTACAGAATTATGTGGGCTGTTCACGTAGGACATAGACCGCCGCTATTAGACAATTGTCCCCAACCAATAGAAGATCTCATAGTTACGTGTTGGAATAAAATACCAGAATTAAGACCATCGATGGATTCAGTTGTTACAATTTTAACAACATTACTAGAATTTTTTAGTGGACATTTAGAACCAATTGAAGATTATTTAGTTAGCGAAAGAAACAATGTAGATAAATCTAAATATAATAATATGGATTTAACAACTACAAACATTTCGCAATTAAGTATGTCTATAGATTATAATGATTTATATGATTCGCTGCACATAAATGTGCAGAAAATCAAAAACTTAGTTCAATTAAATTTTGAAAACTCTATATCAAACTCAATTTTAAATAAAAATACTTTATATCCTTTAATAACCGAAACTCAAATATCGAAATTAAAATGCTCGATACAAAAACAAAACCTTGTTCCTTTACATGTTAAATGCGATGCCAATGCTTGGGAACTCGATCATATTTCAAAATCATCTGTGGACATACAAACATCTATATTAAATGACACAGTATTGCAGTCGGATGTATTTTATAATACACAAAATGAAAATATCAAAGAAATTTATAATTTAATTGATTTAGAATTAAGGCCAACTTTCCCAGACTATAAATGTTATTTATCATCTGAAATTTTTAAATTACATAATAATTTAGCCCAAGAATATGTTAAAATTAAAAACGAAATTATAATTCTCTGTCATCATAAAAAAAAAATATTTACAAATTTACATAATAAAAATATATTGCATCAACAAATAGTATATAAATTAAATGAAGAAAAGGAATTATTAATTAAACTGTATCATGATCTTAAACGCCAAACACAAATAAAACAGACTCAACAAAAAGTAATAAATTTTCCACCACATTCTCTTTAAAAAATAACGACGGTTGGATACTCGTTAAAAGACGAGATTTACACAAAATTTTAGTAAAACTAATAAATTAAATAAACAGTATGATAACAGTATGATATGAAATACGTCGTTGGCATATTATAAAATTTCTATGATCACAATTTACTTGTACAAACTTTGATTTACCCAAACATGTGTGTAATTAAATTTTTACTATATGTCGAGTTTTGATTTACTTATTAATAAAAACATGAGTGTTTAAATATATATTGTAATATATTTTATGAACGAATAATAAAGAATATTTTTTAATAATTAATTACGATAATAAGATTCATATATTTCCTCATATTGTTATTTTAATATAAGAAATCTAATAACAATATCATAAACATTTATGGTCGGTTTTATTTTACTAAAAAAAATTATATAGTTAATTAAAACAAATAATTCAATAACAAAAAAGGAGTAATGCCTCTTAATAAAAATGTATGTATTATATAAATATAAAATTATGAATTAGATATTGTCCAAGTGCTATTTAAGTCTGTCTCATGATGATAGGTCTAGACTTATAAAAGATATACATCTTACGAGAATATAACTTATGACTAGTACACACGTTTCACACAATAGTATAAAATATGTTTATAGTTTTTATTTAAGGATAATTTATATGCAAGTTTTTTTAATGTGTAGAATTAAAATAAACAAAAAAAAAATAACTTAAAGTTGTATGTTTAAATACAAACTTTTAGAAGATTATAAAGTTTTCGAAAATAATTATAATGGAAGGAATGAATTTCAAATAAAATTATACGTATGATCTCAAACTTCAGGTAACATCTGACGAGAATACAACACCTTCATGATAAAATTAAATATATAATTGTATTATGAATATAGTTTATATTTAAATATATAGACTGAATTTGTATTGGCACATAATTACAACATTTAAACTTGTATTTATTTTTATTCAAAATGTAATTTATTTATGACGTTATGTATAATATTAAATTTTAAATAAATTACTTTCGTAAGTTTCATATTACAATTTTTCATTTTTATTACTGTTCGAGAATGCAAGAAAACTCCCAGCTCATTAAACATCTTGAAAATTCGAGATAAGAGTTCTTGAAAAAGCGAACTCTTGACTACTTGAGAAATAACATTCAAACGCGCCTCGGATTAACTAAATCTAAACAATTCAGCAAAACTTCGAATATCTAAAGAAAATACAATTCATAAACACATCTGGCAAGAACAAAGGTCCAAGTCTCCAGCAAAATAAGTCATGAAACTAATGCTACGAGATATTTGTGACGGCCTCGTCATAAAGCATCTATCGACGACAAGTCATAAAACATCTGGCGTGCACAAGTCATAATAATTAGTCTGAAAAACACAAGCGAGATGATACACTCAAAAACAATGCTACACCTAACCTTCATAACACTGACCGATCGCATTACAAGAAATGCATGCGACAATGCTAGGATGGAGAGGGAAAAGCGCGGCAACAAGACCCCCCATCATGGAGGGGAGTTGAGCAAGACCCGCTCTCATTGGAGCCTCCATCTTGGAAAGACTCACTGGTGGGAGACCCCACCACTCGAAAAGCGCCGTGATTAGAATTACCATAAACTAAAGAAGAATTCTGATTGGACACACTAATAAGACCAAATCTCATTGACGACGCCATGATCGACAAGACAGCTCTGATTGGCGACACCAAAAAAGAGGGAATTCTCACCAACCATCGCGTGGTCGAAAAAAGGCAACACCGGTACGGCACAATCACTTAGCTTATCTTATCTAACAGAAAAAGAACGAGTCAATTAAAACGCAGTCAAACAATTAGAAAGTCCAAGCTAATTATTCAAGATCATTCTATTTAACACAAGTGCTACATAATCAAATCAGACACTCGCAACAGTGCAATACAAGTAAAAAGGGGAATTGAGAATTACGAATATCAGTTCGCACAGTATACACAATCAAACTGCAAGGAGCCACACGAGGCAATTCAAAGAACAAGACAAAACATAGCTATACACAACGTACAGGCTTACGAGGTAAAGTTCCATTCCTAATTAATACATAACTATATCAAGCTATACAGGCCAATCTGCAGATACGTAAAGCTATCTGCAAAACATACTACAAGCAATACAAGCAACGCCACTTGCTCATATACAAGGAAGCGCGGGGGTTTACGACCTCGCTCTTCTGTGTGTATTATTTCATCTACACGTGTGTCACATATAGAGGACCAGCAAGGCATCAACTTCTTCCTGTGTATGCGACGTATGTGATAGCTCAGTGGCAATAAAACATACAAATCAAGAAAAATAAAACTCATTATAATCAACTAGTGCAATTATATAAATAAAAGAAAACTAAATAACAAACCTACTCTTTATTGAATACATGTACTATCTTGTCCACTAGCCTGCAATCCTCCTATCAACATCGGGAGCTCACACTTAATCTTAGTTACTTGGCCCTCCTCGCCCGGTACTCTAATTTTAGACAATTACATTAGATAGGGTTGAAAGAATTTGATTTTTTAAAAAACATTGATCATTTTTCGATGGCTTTAATAAGTTTTAATTTATTGCAGGAATGGTTATAACTGAATACATTAATATATCAAATATAAACAATGTAAAATTTTCTAAAAATATGTATATTGTATAATTTATGAATATTTGGGTATTATTTTCATATATTTTTTCCTCTTATTTTACAATTTTTATTTATTTTATGCATACAAAATATTTCAATTTATTATTTAAAATTTTATTTGCATCAATGCATAAACTTTTACACATTCAAATATTTTTACTAGAAATTTTTTTTAATACTAGTACTGTAAATACATATGTATTTCATAATAAATATATCTCTTCATGATTATAAATTGGTTACATTGAAATAAATTCACATAATTTTTAAATGATTAAAAGAAATTAAATTTTAGTCATTTCGATGTTGTTGATATATTTAAAACTTGTTAAAGTAAAAAATACCTATGACATAAAACGTGTTTTTACATATATTTTAATAATTTGTAAATTATAGAAAGTTCATATAAGGCTCATATATTTTAATCTTATAAAAAAATTTTAATTTATGCAAATTCTTGTTATTTTGTTATTAGAAGTTATCACATGACTTTTATTATCCTTTACGTCTTTGCATGTTCGAACAATATATATTCATTAGAATTCTCTAAAATAATTATTAAATTGCGAATTACGTTATGTGTGATCACATTGCAATTTATATAATTTTATTATAATATCTACTCTTTCTCATCATGTATTATCGTCACTTTCAAAAAATTCGATAAATATTAATCTCAATTTTCATCGATTCAGTCATTCATTAATTTGATTCGTTTAATATTAACTTTACTATTTATATTAATTAATATGAATGTTAATTCGTTTCCTGTATTTATACATTCTGTATAACTATTTAATTATTATTTAGTGTGAGCCAACTATGTGAGGTTCTAAATTTCATGACAAAACTAATCTAGTATTACATTGATATTACGTACATGTGCCAGTATAATTGTATTTTATTAGTAGAATTGAAGTTCTTCATAGAAAAAAATAATTGTATTTATTTTGTACAAAATGTATTCGCCGTTCCGGCTTGTTTTACCAAGACCGGTTCGAAGGATAGAAATTGATGCCGTTGACAACTCAGGGACCACGGGTGTTGTATGATAGCGATGAAAGGTCACAAGTGGAAGTAATATTATAATAATTCAATATAAATAAGGCTGATCTATATGCTGTTTATTCTGTTATTTATTCGATGACAAGGCTTGAATAGTATTACTATTATTAATTATTGAAATAACTCGTGTGGTGTATTAATGTGTTTGCGGTGGTAAACGTACACTCATCTAATGCAGCGTGATGGTTTGAATATGTTCGAAATATTGTAGGGATGTAATTCTTGGCTCGAACTGCCAATGCTTCAATAGCTTAGTTTGCCGCCCGCCGTAGCAGACGCTCGGGAAGGGGTGAGATGTAGGGGCTGTACAAGAGTCGCGAGAGTTGGTTAATTATATTTATTATACAATTTATTACACTATTTACATATGGATGTTATAGAATCTTCTTGTATCTTATATGAAGATATGATTTCTTGATCGGCTTCTTATACAGGAGGTGTCACTACACAAGATGCCTTGAAATCATTTAATTGATGTAAATTGCACAGGTATATAATTGCTGCACACTTCTAAGTGGAGAGTGTGAGATAATCTTGATGATTGTCTTATGGCCGGTTCTATTGCCGGCTGACAATAATTGAAGAGAAAATATGTATCAACGTACTTACAGCGATATCGTAATTCAATCTGATTCAGCGGTGAGAGGGACACGAATCATGTGCGGCGTGACTCCTTTACTTACCAGCATAAACTATTCTTGTGGCGAATTACTAGCACTTATTTCTGT